ATCTCTGTAGTGCTGATGTGTGTCTGTGTGTTTGTGTTGGGGGTGTGAGGTGTGGAACGTATGTCTGTGATTTGTTTCAGATGTTCCAGTTTACACCTTTGGAAGTTCAAGTTTACACCCACCTTGGTGAGGGGCCACAGGCAGAAAGACACAATTTTATTCATAGACTTCTGTTGCTTTCTTCATTCTAATTCTCAGATTGACTATAAGAAACAATCACAGTCTTAAAATAATTTTACTTAAAAATTTAATTTCTGAAAGGCAAACTTCCTCAGTGTCACATACCTTTTCAGAGGAAGAAGAAATAATTGTTGGAATGTGTATTTACCATAGTCAAAGTAAGTCCTCCCAGTGCCAGATTTCAGATTTGAAACAGCAACACCCAAACACTAATGAGTTCCCAGAAGCTAAGAATCAATGCTCTTATTCCAGAGAAAACTATGAGAACGTGAAACTAAATATCGATAAATATTTATCACTATACCAATAAATACACATACTAATTACTATTTTTTTCTTTAAATACTTCAAAATCTTCAAACTACTTCTATGGTAAAATTAAAACAGGTACATATCTATTTATTCTGTGCCTGTTCAGATCAACATTCGGACTATTTTCTTAAATTTGACTCATTCCAATATTTATACACGACTGCTCCCAGAATACAAATGCAACTTATAAAATGCTTCTAAAAATAACTACCAAGAAAGGAAAGTATGACTGAGTAATTTTCTTTTTTATTAAAAAGTTGTTAAACTAATTCATTTAAACATTGTTTTTAACCACTAGGGGGTATGATTGGTCATTTTTCCTTACAGCAAAGGAAAAAAAATCTTAATCTTTCATCTGAGAACATAATCTATCCATCAAACAGTAAAAAAGTGGCAGAATTAAAGTTTTGGAGAATACTATTTTTAGTTCTTAGGTCTGAATTCTGGTTGACAATCCAATAATTACTTGAAAGTTAAAAGCAGCAAAGGTGAACTGCTCACTATCTTCACCTCTTAGCCATCAGAATGCCACTCGGCACACTAAGATTTGATCTAAAGCTAAAAAGCACAAAGCTAACTGAAATAGCCAAAACTTTTACAAACTAAATTAGAACTGCGTATCTTACCCTGGAAGATATATTCACTTATAATCAGGCCTTTATTCTACTTATTTCAGTCATACAGTGTCCCTTGATATGAAGAAAGTAAAGAGAATTCTACAGGAAAGGAATAGCATAGCTCAATCTTTTATTACTATGGTTTCAAAACCTAACAAAATAAGGCAAATAAATGAAAAATATTAAAAGACACAGAAACTTCAATAGCAATGAAAGTAAAGCATTTAAAAAGTGTACAGGCTGGGTGTGGTGGCTCATGCCTGTAATCCCAGCACTTTGGGAGACTGAGGTGGACGAATTACCTGAGAGCTCAAGAGTTCGAGACTAGCCTGGCCAACGCGGTGAAACTCCATCTCTACTAAAAATACAAAAACTAGCCAGGCATAGGGGGTGGCAGGCGCCTGTTATCCCAGTTACTCAGGGGGCTGAGGCAGGAGAATTGCTCGAACTCAGGAGGTGGAGGTTGCAGTGAGCCAAGATCGCGCCATTGCACTCTGGCCTGGGTGATAAGAGCGAAACTCCACCTCAAAAAAAAAAAAAAAAGTCTTAGGGACCATCAAATCGCTATGAAATTGATAAATAAAAATTAAAATAATGCGGCAAGACGAGGTATTATTTAGTTAAAGGCACTGTAAATCAAACCTATCGTTGTTGAAAGAAATCTGGCAATACTACACGGAACTAAAACACTTCTTATCTTTGCCCAGAATTTTATATTTGGGGATATGCAAATAATTACTGCTAAATACACTGTAGCAGAGCTATTTATAATAGAGAAAAACTGGGCCCAATCTAAACGCCCTACAAGTAAGAATGGTTAGGCAAACCATAGATAGTACAGGAACAAAATGAAATAGTATAGGCTATAAAAAGCAGTAAGAATGTGCACCACCTCAATATCCAAATGCATGTGCATGTAAAATAAGTTAAAAAAAGGAGGCCATGAAAACATACAGTATCTATGAAGGCTAAGATAATTAATCAGAAGTTACAGCAACATAAATAGAATTTTATGTTCACTGGACTCCTGTTTCTCTGCTAGTAAATTCAACATAAGATAATTTTTAAAGAGAGAAAATTACTAAATCCTCAGGGTTCTTCTGATTCTCTCTCAATTTACATCCTGAGGTAAATGCATGAGACAAACTTTACAGCACATAAAAACACTCTACTACCTAAATTATATATAAGTTGAAGATATATTTGTTTCATCTCTACACTATGACAACAATGACAAATATTGCACTTTTCCTCTAAGAAATGCAAAATACCTTTCAAGGGGAATATGTCATAATCAAATACGATTATTCCTATTTTACAGATGGAAAAACCGTTGGTAACAGCATCAACGACCTGCCGAATTTATCCAACTTCAGATTCACTAACTTAACAGCATCTTCTGGAAAGAATCATTTCCACTTCACGACTCTCATTTCTAATTTTTAAAAGAAGTTCCTTCCACTTTTCTGAATAATATATACAAGACTGTCCTTAACAAATACGAAATGGATGAGAATAAATTATTAATATCCTGATTGAAGTAATACAAATTTCAACTGTTTACTGTTATTTATAGCATCTTCTTTGAAAGGCAAAGAAAAGAAACATTAAAGTTTATTTCAAATTCTCTACACCAGTTAGTCATATCGCAGGAAAAATGCTGAAAGTACACCCTCCTGCTCTTCCAAGAGTTGTTTCCATTGACCAAACGTGAGTGTAGCTGGCGATAAAGATAAAAATCCAAACATTTCGGAAAAATGATCTACTCTGCCTGTTTTATCCCTATACCCATGAAAATTAAAAATCCAAAATGACCCCCAAGATTAACCAAAAGACAACTATAATACACAACCTAGCCACTTACCAAAGGACTTGTTGAGAAAACAATCATCTAACTGGCAGACCACCTGTAAGTTTCACTTATTCATTTTCTAAGTCCATCTCAAATGTCACTTCTTCTTCTTTTTTTTTTTTTTTTGAGACAAAGTCTCGCTCTGTCGCCCAGGCTGGAGTGCAATGGCACAATCTCGGCTTACTGCAACCTCTGCCTCCTGAGTTCAAGCGATTCTCCCTGCCTCAGCCTCCCAAGTAGCTGGGATTACAGATGCCCGCCACCACGCCCAGCTAATTTTTCACCATATTGGCCAGACTGGTCTCAAACTCCTGACCTCAGGTAATCCGCCCACCTCGGCCTCCCAAGGAATTACAGGCCTGAGCCACCACGCCTGGCCGTGTCACTTCTTCTATAGAACTTTCCCTAAAGACTCTAGTCCACAGATAGTTTCCTCATTTGTGTTTTAGAACACTTTGGACATCATCCCGTATATCAGATTTCAATAATCTGTTAATCTGTTCATAAACTTATATCCCTTACATGGAGGTTCCTAGAGGGCAGGAAATATATTTTTCATCTTTGAGGCACTAGGAATAGAATATACAACTGCTGTTAAAATTAAAGACCAAATACTAGGCTTTGAAGGTTGGTTACTAAAATATTTAATGGAAAAACCAGTGTACTTGCAAGTCTAGATCTCCCTTCCACTTGGAAGCACAACAGTCTTTCAGTCAGAATCGTCAAAAAGGAGTAAAAGTTCCTTGCACTGCAGAGTATAAACTTAAGTACTGAAACGTCAACTGCTGACTTGGGTAAACCTTAAATATCCTTATATATTTTTTCAGATACAAGGTTTTGCACAGATGTATAAACATGTCATTCAGGACAACTGACAACCTAAAAAGAAACTACCACATGTTATGAAAAATTTAATAGCTTATCTAATGCCCTAAAATAACCTCAAAATTCACAGCTATAGTAAAGCTAGCAGTAATAAAATAAACACTAGCTTAAAAAAAATCAAACTTAATAAATAAGCCTATTTATAGATTGTAAAAGTTTGTTGAACGATTATTTGAATTGTTAAAATCATTAAAGGCTTCAAAGAGATCCTCATCCCCCAAATGTTAAGTTTTAAATAAACTTAACAAAACAGTTGTGTATGAATACTGTAAAGCCCTACACCATATAACCTAAAAGCAGGTTACTTTACTTACGCCTCTTTTACTAGCAATTAAACTGAAAACCTTGGGTGTGAATGTTGTAAGAGATCAAAGTTTTCAAGACTTGCTCTAGGAAAATACCAGATTCTCCCATCATTTGCCCCTTTTAAATGTTTAAAACCATCTAAGAGAAACTAGTGAGATCTCGTATCTTTTTTTGTGTATTAATATCTTTTACACTTAAAAGTCAGAAATCAAGTGGCTCAACCATTACAGCAATTCTTTATTAATGCAGTTTGTGCGGTTCTGGGTGTTATACTCCACAAATAAGGAACCAACTTCTAATTGTGATGCGAGGTATCAAAGTCCTAGAAAGAACAAGCTCTCCTAACCAACCAGGTTTCAGGAAAATGCAATTCAACAGGAAGCAATGAAGTTAAAAGCTAATGGAAATTGTAACTAGGCTGAGTGTTGCTCACATGCAAGGAGTCGGTCACCCGCTTTCTTAGCGTACATGATACAGGGCTGTGAGCGAACACTCACGCGTGGACCTGCATGCATCCAACTCCAAAGCTCTAAGGCGTGAAGCCCAACTCCAAGGGCGCTCCACACGGTCCCTGTTCCAGGAAAACTGAATACAGCTGCTCGTGCTACTTGGCCCGCAAGACGGGAGGAGAGTCTGAGGCCCACTGAGTCCTCCAGAATCTACCCTTGCAAGGGCTGTTCCAGAGCCCTCCACCCACAGCCCGGCCGACCCCAAAAGCTTCAGGGGAAACTCGACCCCACCCACTGCTACACCCCCTTCCCTCACTCCTACCCGAGGATCAGCTCCCCCGGATAGGGGCGACTTCCCCTTCCGACAGTGTATCAGGGGGCGCGTCAGGCCTCACCCACCTTGCACTCGTCGCTCTTTTTTTCTTCGTCGCAGAAGTTGACGGGCGCCAGGCCGGGCAGGTAGAAAGCGCCGCTCCGGCGCGGGCCAGGAGCCGCCCCCAGCAGGAGCAGCGACAGCAGCAACAGCCGCGGCCACCGAGGTGGAGACAACACCGGCAGCCTAGCGCTCATGATAGCTGTTTCGGGGAAAGGGCAATCAAGTCTAGGGGGTGAAGAGGGAAGGAGGGGTGGGGAGGCTCGGAGACCACTACAAGGCCGCGGGAGATAAAGGAGGCCGGCCCCGGGACGGCTAGTTCCGGTTGCGCTAGGAGACACCCTGGGTCCCGCAACAGAAACCCAACCGGACCGCGACAGAGCATGCGCATCGCCGTCTGCACATGCTCAGTGAGAACGGTTGCAGGCACCAGTTGTTGTTTCCGGGAGGGAGCGGGGGCGAAATCCACTTTCCGGGTTTTCCGCGCGCCAGCTGGGGTGGTTACCGGGAGAGCTGTTCCGGCGCTCACGTTCCAATTACGAATTACAAATTCCGATCCAGAGCTCCTACGCTTGGGGGCCGTGGAGCGCTCGCCAGCCGCTCCCCGTTTGCTGCTGGGTCTTACGAATTTCTCATATCCATCATACGGTTTCTTTATCACACTGTCCGCGGCACGCCAGTCCCTATAACAGAAAGCACCTGCTGATGGAGACGGAGTTGGTGGCGGAGGGGAAAAGTTCGGGAGACACCTGGTTGGGAGCAGGCTAAGGAAACAAATGGGGAGGAATTAGCCACAAATCCTCAAATAGACAGCTACTCAAAGGCATCTTCACGGACAGTTTCCAAGCATTGGATGCAGTGATGCATTCTTGCGTTGGGCAGTGATTGTGTGCACACATCTCTTTAAGGGAGAGTGGAAATGGGGTGGGGAGGAAAATGGGAGTAGAATAGAGGGTAGCGTTGACATTTATTTTCTTCAAAGGAAGACCCGAGCACACCTGAGAGCTCAGTGAAGCAAGTAGTTCTGGCGAATCGGATTAATATGGTATGATCACCCTTTAGCAAGATGCTGTCACTTTTCCCACTGATGATGCTATATGGTGTCCGCGTGTGTATGCGTACACGTGTGTGTGTGTGTGTTTCATCTTCTGAGTATTTTTCAAGGAGAAACTTTTTAGTGATCTGAAAAAGTCAATTCAGTTGGCCACTAGAGTTCAATCGAAAACTTCAGAAGAGTGCATCATCTTAAAGTACAGAAGGGAGAATCACAACCTCCAGCTCAGAATTCAAGAATAGGCAAGTTTGTGAAACAGTAAGCTCAGAAAAGTTTAGGGCTGGTGAACTCCTGTTTAAAGTTATTGCAGGTATTTGTACTTTTCTCCCAGGGAAGGTTTATAACTTTCATCAGATTTTCAAAGGGACGTAGGACCCTGCAAATTGATCCATATAGTGGGGTAGCCAAGTTAATCAAGAGAGAACTGGGAATTAGAGAAGAACGTTCATCTTAAGGTTGTTGTGAAGATTAAATGAAAAATGGAGGCAAAGCGCTGAGCACACCGCTTGGCCCAAAGAATGGCACCTTTTTTTTTTTTAATAACAAAAACTAATCCGGTAGGGCCTGAACAGAAAACTGTGCCTAGGTGGCTTCCCTTTCACGTCCTCTCACTCAAATAAATCAACATATTCGCTGAACTTAGGGCTAGGGAAAAAATGTAAAATATTCTGTATTTGGAAGTCATGGAGATTTCCAATACAATAAAAGGAAGCAGACATTTTCTCCAGATAGGAAAGAGGAGGAAACAAACTAACATTTTTGCTCATTATATTCTTTTTCTAGCACCCCTAAAACTTGACCTTCATTATATCTCACTGCCCTCATCCCAAACACATCCTCTCCTACTTTTCCAGGAAACGGCATCGCTGCCCATCTCTTCTCAGGCACCAACCCTGGAGGAGAACCTAAATTTCTCATTTCCTCACTCCCTACCTCCTGTCCTTCAGTCCCGTTGGCTGGGGTGCTAAACTGTGGACTAAATTCTTTCAGTACTTACCATGCCCACAGCTACCACCCTGGTCCAAGCCAAATTCTTAGTTGCCCTGGACTTCTTACTGCAGAAGCCTTTCAGCTTCCACTCTTGGCAAAAACCTTGAAATCTCTTAATACCACTCGTCTGCTTAAACCTCGGCATCCCACATGTACCACTATCAGGAAGGATCACGTTTGTTTGTTTGCTGTCTCAGTCCCCCATTTATATGTAAGTTCCACGGGTAAGTGCCTGCCCCTACATCCCACACCTCTACATCCACACAGCCTAGAGACCCCAGGCGCGGGGAAAGTACTCCAGGACCATCACCGGCCAGGCCACACGACTGCTGGATCTAAATTTGGAACCGGACTTTTAAAGCTGAAATAAACCTGAGGTTTTCCAGAGGCATTTAACCTCCTTTTACAGCCAAGGATGCGCCTAAGAGAGGGGAGTGACTTCCTGCAGTAACGCAGCCACTCTGGAGACTGAGACCACAAGGACTTGGCAGTCTAAAAGTCTGCAACCTTTTCCACTCCAAAGCTCGATGTTTCCTCAATCCCCCGGGCTCAGCATCAGCAAAAACCCGGAGAAGCGGAGCCTTTCTCAATGAAAACGACCACCAGACTCCTGCTACCGACTCCACCGGTGCGCGTATCACGCACGCGCAGGGCAGGCCGGCCGCACCTCGCCAACTCCTATTCGGACACGTCATCTAGGTCGGCCGGGGTCCGGTGGGAGGGGCCAGGGGCGGGGCTCGGACGCGGGGCGGAGGGGCCCCCTCACTTCCGGATCCAGCCTCTCCTGGTCAACGCCTCACTTTGGGTTCCTTGGTTACCTGGCTGCGATGTCTACCCGGTGCCGGGGCGTGGCGGAGAGAGATTGCCCCGCCCCCCACGCAGGTCACAAAATGGAGGACCTGCGTTGTGGGCGTTGGTGTCCTGGGTGTTGCCATGCCGAAAGGCGAAAGTTAGATTGGCAATTCCAGTTGCAAACTGGAAAGAAATGGAGTGTTTCCTTCATTCTCCCCATGATCGTGACGGTCCTTTTCTCAAAGTACTAATACTTTTAATGGGACTGTAAAAGTTGAGGGTTATGACTTTCTCCTCTCCTCTGCTTCAGATTGCATTTGCCAACTCTGATTTACCGCCAATACTATGGTGCTGTTATATTCATAGAGACAGAAAGTAGAGCAGTGGTTGTAGAGTCTAGGGAAGGAGGGATGGGGATTTACTGTTTAATGGCATAGAGCTTCAGTATGGGTTGGTGAAAAAGTTAGGATGAATGGTGATGACTGCACAACAATGCAAATATGCTAATGTCACAGAAGTGTACACTTAAAAATGGTTAGACGGTAAGTTTTCTATTATGTATATTTTACCACAATTTTTTTTTTTTTTTTTTTTTTTTTGGTTGCAACAGAGCCTCCCTGTTGCCTAGGATGGAGTACAGTGGCTCGATCTCAACTCACTGCAACCTCTGCCTCCCAGGTTCAAGCGATTCTCGTGCCTCAACCTTCCAAGTAGCTGGGATTACAGGTGCCAGCCACCATGCCCAGTTATTTTTTTGTATTTTTAGTAGAAATGGGGTTTCACCATGTTGGCCAGGCTAGGCTATTCTCAAACTCCTGACCTCGGGTGATCCACCTGCCTCGGTCTCCCACAGTGCGGGGATTACAGATGTGAGCCACCACGCCCGGCCCCACAGTTTTGTTGTTTGTTTGTTTAATTTTTTTAATGGCATTTGTTTTGTTTTGTTTTGTTTCTTGATTTTGAGACGGAATCTCGCTCTGTCACCAGGCTGGAGTGCAGTGGTGCCATCTTTGCTCACTGCAACCTCCGACTCCCTGGTCCAAGCAATTCTCCTGCCTCAACCTCTCGAGTAGCTGGGATTACAGGCACGCACGACGACACCCAGCTAATTTTTGTATTTTTAGTAGAGATGGGGTTTCACCATACTGGCCAGGATGGTCTCGATCTCCTGACCTCGTGATCTGCTTCGGCTTCCCAAAGTGCTGGGGTTACAGATGTGAACCACTGTACCCAGCCTAAATGGCATTTGTTTCTTCTACTCCTCTCTGCCAGAATAATTTGGACAACCTTTTCTGAGTTTCCCATGACTTCTGTATAAGATTGTCGGATATAGCAAATAAAAGTACATTATGCCCAGGTAAATTTTAATTTCAGATAATCAATGAAAAACAATTTAAGTACATTCCAACTATTCCATGGGACATAGGGTATTTTATCTGATCACCCTACTTTTCTGTCAAGTTAAAATTATTAGCAAAACAGCTTCCATTTTCAGGAAGTGCACACTGTACTCTGCTAGTGAGGTAGGAGAACAGGGTCTGGAAGCAGAGAACCTAAGGCCGTTTCTCACTGACTTCCTAGAGCCATTTGGAAAGGAAAACCCTAACTTTCCACTCCTAAGTAACAAAAGGCCCAGAGGCCACTCCCTTTGCAAACCCCCACCTTTTCTGTGCTGCAGCTGGAAAATTGAAAGTACCTCTGATTGATTGCTTTCTGCAACTAATCAGATGTTTGCATAGAGTGTAACTTTGTAACTTCACTTCAGCCTCTGATTGGTTGCCATCCCCAACCAATCAGACTGATTGCAGGCCAAGTCTTCCTTTGCATAGAAGTGCAACATTGTAACTTCTCTTTAGCCTCTGATTACGGGCCACCACTTCATTTACATGGGGTGAGCACCAAGTAAGTGGCCAATAGGAAACCTCTAGCGGGTATTTGGACCTGACAAGATTCTGTATCTGGGGCCCTAGAGCTGCTGCTCAGCCTGCTCCCACACTGTGGAGTGTACTTTCACTTTCGATAAATCTCTGCTTTCCTTGCTTCATTCTTTTCTAGCTTTACTGTGCGTTTTGTACACTTATTTGTTCAAAACGCCAAGAACCTGGACAACTTGCTGTCCGCAACCAATGAGACTGACTGTGGGCCGAGTCTTCATTTGTATGGAAGTGCAACTTTGTAACTTTAGCCTCTGATTGCTGGCCACCACTTCATTTACATGAGGCGAAACCTCTAGCAGGTATTTGGGAAACCTCTAGCAGGTATTTGGACCTGAGAAGATTCTGTATCTGGGGTCCTTGAGCTGCTGCTTGGGCTCACTCCCACACTGTGAAGTGTACTTTCACTTTCAATAAATCTCTGCTTTCCTTGCTTTGCTGTGCGTTTTGTCCAATTCTTTGTTCAAAACGCCAAGAATCTGGACAACTTGCAGTCAAGACCCTCTACTGGTCTGGCGAGCCAGGTAGGAGGGAAGCCTGAAGTTTGGGATTTATTTTTCTCCTTTCTTCTTCTCCTCTCTGCTACATACAGGGGAATCTTTCTCTTTCTTTTCCTTTCCAACTCGGGACTCGCGGTGGATAGCGCCTAAGCACGGCAACAACTGCAAGTTTCTGGCTAGGGCCTCTCTCTGGTGAAACTGAAAGGCCTCCATGTGGAAGCATCTGACTAACACCGCCGGGTTGGGGTGAGGGACCCGAGTCCTTTTCCTTGTTTCTGTTTTTCCGAGTCCTATTCCTTTTTTCCTCTTTCTGAGTTATTTTCCTTTTTTTTCTTTTCCAGTCTTTCAGTGGCTGTTTTCTAGTAGCTCCTTGGCAATTGAGGGGAGCTGGCCAGGGCCACTCTCTGGTGTTGTCTGAGGGCAAGGAGTGAACAGGGATGACTGCCCTGCCTTGAAGAGGGAAGGACTCTTTTCTGTCCCTTCCAGCTATAGTCCCTGATCCTTACGTGTGAGGCAGTTGGCAGCAGAAGCTCATCCTGGGCGAACTCATACATATTTCAGGCGACTTAAACCTTCTCTTCTTATGCTAAATTCTTCCCTTCCCCTACTCATCTGGCTAAAGGACAGACTGCAAAGAAGTTATACAAGTCAGAGGGTCTGGGCATGTCGGAGGTGGTCTGTGTGGGGCATGGGGGGAAATTCATGAAAGGGAACTTACTGCCTAAATTTAAAAGTTTAAAGGGTTGCTTTAAGTGGGACAGAAAAACCTTAAGGAAAGTTCATAGTAGGTCCTCAGTGGTGGAGGAACCCATCCCAAAGCAGTGCCAGCCCCCATTTAAGGTCAGAGATATCTGACAGACTAAATCAGGGCCCTAAAGTAGGGACACCCCTGGGAACTCCAGTCTGGGTTCAGATTTTTTTCAGGGGGATGCCCTGGGTAAAGTTTGGGTCACCTAATGGGCCCTCTACTTTTCAAAGTCCTCTTCTCTTTTCCAGACCACTATGGGCACCTCTCAATCTATTCCACCTTATTCCACTGTGGGCACGGATTCCTCACTT